GTCCATTTTGCGACTCAACAACAACTGTTTTTCATCTACTGGAATTTTGCCCAACACTGCAAGATAAGAGGCAATTTAATACCCCTAATTATACGCACTTATTTGTGGTGTATTTTTTTTTTTAACGTAAGGTAGCATACATTTTGTGTTACTGTCAGCCATTGTTATTTCTGCTTGTTTGTGAAATGTGCAAACGTTTGTGAAGACATTTATAAACGCGTTTTACTTAATTAATTAATTAATAATTGTATGTTAAGGTATTACAAACGCATGCGAACCTTTTAAGTAGAGTCCGACCGATTCCAATTTTTTTTCAGGTGCCGATGCCGATGCCGATTAATCGGCTTACGGGGAAAGAATCGGCCGATGCCAATGCCGATGCCGATTACATAAAAAATTACAAATAAATGTATTAATTCATAAAATCAGTTCGTTTCACGGAGCAAAAGAAAAGAAATAATTGAATTAATTGACTTGTTATGCAACATTCAATACACATGTATGTACATACATACATATGTATGTGTAAAAATATATGTACATATTAGAGAGCTGCACGATTACATAAAAAGGTAACATGTTAATAATCGGCGATGCCGATGCGGCGAGTACATGCTACATAACTGTAAATTTGGCATCGCAGAATCGCCGCATCGTCGGCATCGTCAAGATAGTAACATGTTACTAACATGTTAGTAACATTCCGTTTTTTATGAAATTGTTGAGAGAGTGAGCAGAAAGAGCGCAGATTTGACGAAAGTTGCGTCGTGATCGGCTGTTGATTGTTTTTTATTCGTAATCTTGGCACACGCTTGCCACATTTTATGTACGAACATTACAAAAAATACCCAAAGTAAAAAGTAGCGTGTTTTTAATATACTTTGTTTTAGATTATTTGCATGCGATTGCTACAAACCAAAAACAAAATGTATGACCCTGAATGAGAACTACAGTTTGAGTTAATAAATGTTGGTAATATACTATATGTACATACATACATGAGTTAAAATTGCTTGCTTCAGGATTTTTATAAAGAGGACACAAATGACTCACTTTATTTAATTCGATTCTACCTATATAAATATATAAGAAATTTTAATGCTGGTTTATACCCAAAAATAATGGTTAATATTTATGAGGCAATCTCTTTTTCAGAACTATATATGTATGTAGTTACCTATTTATGTGAAAGCACATTCCTATGAAAATAATAAAACCTAAACATCGAAATCTTATAGTTATTAGTTACTAAAAAGTTCTAAGATCCATTCCTTCACTATACGTATAAGCAAAAGAGGCCAAAAAGCCTATGCACGCAAAATATCCACTGTTACTACATTTCTAAAATGCGGCAACCATGAGCGTGACGAACTAAACCACGACACCAACCAGTGTTGCCAGAGAAATATTTCGAAAAATTTTCGGTCGAAAAAAAAGAGCTAAGTAATATTAATAGCTGATATGAAGAGCTAAATTTTTTTTTTGAAGTTGAGCATTGATTGACGTTAGGTTGGTTTTACATTTTCCGCAGTTTTAATAAAATCAACGAATTTTATAAGTTTAAGCTCTGAAAAAAAAACTTTTAAAACCAAAATAAGGTGCATATATTTCGAATTCGTTGCTATGGCACTTATCACACTTATATGTACGCACAAACTGTGAAAATCTACAATTTAAGATATATGTATGAATAATTTTTTAGCAAACGTTTTTCTGGAAAAGTATTTCCAGCTCTCCTTAAAGGTAAAATTAGTAGGGAAAAATAAAATACTTGATACTTAAATAAATGATTTGTGAAACATTTGATCCATTTTTTGTTTTTTTCTATGATACATATTTTCATGACGTCGCGGCAACACTGGCCGGCAAAAGTTAAACTGTGTCTGTGTTGGTGAGCACAAGAGAACTGCTCCGCATGAGCAACCCAGTACGAAATTACTATAAGTGAAAAAATTTTTAACGGATCGGGCTTCAATAAAAACATATATTTAACACATATCGTCACATGAATGCAAAAAGACGTAACAAACATAGTCGCTGAAATGCAAAAAGTCGTAACTCATAAAAAATTCAAAATACACTTTTTGATTTATATGATGGATTTCATCGAATTACAACTCCCCACATCGTTTTATGAAAATAAAATATTAATCACGACTTTTTCCATTTCAGTGACGATTTTTGCCATGTCCTTTTGCATTTCATGTAGCGATATGTATATGTAAATCGCTGATTTACTAGAAAAGTGTCATAATCCAAAAAAAGCAAAAAATCGAGTTAAGTATGGACGTTACCTATTTCTTATGATGTGTAAAAATTTCATAGCTGTAACGATTACCAGTAGTCATTAGAACAAAATATGTAGTAATTTTTCGCCTGTTAGTATATGTAAAATCAAAACTTTAATGCCGTTTTTCTCGAGTTTTTAGTTTTCTGAGTTATGACAATATTGAAGTAATGAAACTCAGATAAAAAATTCATTTGGATTCACCAACACCAATATTAAAATCCATGCCCATCAAAATTTTCCATATCATTGTGAAATTAATAAAAATGTCTTTTAATAGCATATTCCCTAGTCTTTTAAAGGTCCTACTACACAAAGGGCATTATATGCCCCCAAAAGAATTTTCAATATATGTACATACATATTTCTCGCAAGGCATATTTGTATTCAAGAAACAAAGCAGAATACCCATCCGCGTTGTTTATTTGTTGCTGTCTCGCTAACGACTAAACGATAGAGCGTAAGAATTCGTGTGAAGTGATCGTCCACAATTGCGGTATGAAGCGCCGACCACTGTTTTTAGCTTGCAGCTTGCTATTGACCAGTGTGATCAGATAACTTAATAGGCTACATTTGCAACCAAATTCAGCAATTCTACATAGCACTTTTTCGTGCCTAATTTTAAACTTGCCAACTACGGAAAGTTGGCAGCCCCGACAACGAGTATACGTAACGGTACATTTGGTATCGTGGCATTATTGAGTTTTGCTTTGTAATTTAGTATCCGTGCGTGCAGCAAAGGACGTGGCCTGTTTTCTTGATAGCTTTAGCGAAGTTTTTCCCGGTACATTTGTTGCGTTATTTATATAATGGAAATTTCACGAAAGATTAAAAGTGGTGATTATCAATTAAGCGAAGCATCGGGTTCAAGTGAAATATGGAAACATTTTCGAAAAATTGTGGTTACTGAGACGCGAGAAAATGTACCTTATGTTATATGTTCGAAATGTGAAAAATTATTCAAATTTGGAAAAGGAGCCAGCTCTTCAAATTTAAAAAAGCATACATGCTACAAACGTCAGTCCACAGAAGATAGCGAATCACTTCCACTGAAGCGATCGCTAGTTAACATCAGTGATCAATTACGTATGCAAGTATAGTTAATATGGTTTTGGCATTATCTGGTCACACTGATATTGACGATGCTAATTTATTAACAGAATTACGTTGTTACTAATCGACGATGCTGTTAGTAATCGTACGATGCGACGATGCGGCGATGCCGAGTAACTTCGCTACTTTGGCATCGTGGTAATCGTCAAAAGTGTTAGTTAATAACGTACTCGTACGATACTAACATAATCGTGCAGGTCACTGGTACATATATCACATTTATGTACATTACATAAAATAACTTTTTATATGGGGCTAAGCAAAAAATATTTAGGAACATAAAATTTCATTTCGTTTTGTACTAAAATACACTCTTGCACTCAATGCATAAGAACTTATATGCTAGGTATGTATGTACATACATACATATAGTGGTCCACAAAATAAAAGAATTGCGATATTTTTTACCGATTTTGTCTTTTTTATTTAATGTTTATTATTTGTTTTTATAAAAGTCTAGCTGGTACAACAAACACCATATAAATTCAGATTTCAAACTTTGTACAACAATTAGAAAAATTCTGCTTATTTTCATCAAAATTTCAAACTTTTGAATCAGAATTTTGGTATGCAGTTTTGTAGACCATTTCATTCTAGTATAATGAGGTGCAAGTCTCAAGCTGCTATAAGATCCCGTTAATTTTTGGCAATTCTTTTTTGCTGGCAGTGTTCTCCATATAAAAGAAAATTGTCGCACATACTTTTGTATGGAAAAAACGTGAAACACTTTCAACAAAAAAAACTCATTTTTGTGAGCTGTCTGCAAATGTTTTTTAAAGTTGGCAGTCGCTTCACCTGAACATTTGAAAAGAAATTCCAAAGAATCGGCGAAAAAAGGCTGATGCCGATGCTCAATTTTGTGCCGATACTAGCCGATGCCGATTAATCATTCGGACTCTACTTTTAAGGATAATATATTTGTGTAAATAAAAGTGATAGGTGTGGAGTTATAATAAAATGTGGTGATAGCAGGCGGGATATTCTAACAAGAAATAACTTAAGTACTATTAGCAACAACATTGTGAAAGTGGTAAATACAGTTAAAGGAGACCTCCATTAGTATCCCCACCGAGTTTCACCTAAAATTCACTATACTTTACACGGAATAGCAATTGGTTCCGTAATGGAAATCTCAACCAAATTCGTCGTTTGGTTGTTAGTAGTGGATCGGAGGATAGCAGCATGTATGATATTAAATCATAATTAGTGGAAACTCTTGATATTTTTTCGGGTATTATTAGTTGCGTTCGATAACAAAATTAGCCAACACCAGCCAACAATCAAAATCAAGACAGTAAGCGAAAATTCTCTCCCAAAGAGATGAAAAAGCAAAAAAGTAA